GGAGTCTATCTGTTAGGAGTCTATAAGTTAGGAGTCTATCTGTTAGGAGTCTATCTGTTAGGAGTCTATCTGTTAGGAGTCTATCTGTTAGGAGTCTATCTTTTAGGAGTCTGTCTGCCTCATTGGTTGATGTTGATCTGCTCACAGGTTTGACCTCCTGGCCAATGGCGGGGCGTCCCTGACCCTGAGTTTCGAGCGCGCTCCGTTCATCACTCAGTACCGAACGGTGTGGGTCCCATGGAACGTCTTCTATGTGATGGACACGCTGGTGATGAAGAAGGTACATTCTAGCATGGTTTTCTATAGAGATTGACACGTTCCAATCAAATCCTAATGCGGTGATGAATTATAGCCGCCACTTAGCTGAGGGCTTTTCTGTCACACATCTAAAGTTTTCATATTAGCCTTTAGCCCTTTAATTCCTCCCAATGACTGAAAACAGACTGACAGGATATTATGACCTAATTATGCCATGAGGCAGGAGACTTGTTCATGATTTCTTTTCCATCTGACGCTGATTAATGAATTAATTAGGGTTCTGCCAGTGAGGAGACGAACCGACAGGCGTTGGTTTAACGGAGCGTGTCTGCTTGTTTCAGGAGGAAAACGACATTCCAAGCTGTGACCTGAGCGGCTTCATCAGACCCAGTCCGGTCATCGTCGCCTCACCTCTATCTACATTTTTCAGACGTTCCCATGATGAGAGCCCCATCATACCTGAAACACAGGTATTACCAGCTGGGTTGACTAAGCTAGACTGAAATCCATGTACATGAATGTACATGTTTCATGTACATTCATCTGATTAAAACCAGATGAATGTACATGAAACAGCAATGGTCGTTTCTCAATATTTGTACTTGTGCGTTCTCGTGAAACATCTTCAGCCTCAGAACTGTTCCAGTTCACAAGAACGCAAGTGTGAGAACAGAGAAAGTCCACGGATGTGTTGGTGAGAACATCTGTACTCGCATTCTTGTGAACTGAGTAAACGGCCGATCTTTAGTTGTAACTTAAATACAAAATACCACCAAACCATTAGTGACACTAGTCCAAATGTCTGAACATAGGGTTTGAATTTACAATCATTCATAACAGGTCATTATACAACACATTAATAATCTAAATGCACCTATAATAGAGCGATAAAGCTTTTTAAGTAAGGATTATTTAATTTGTGTTTTAGATTAGCGTTATGATCACAGTCGTTAACGTTAATGAGGTGTAAGCTAATTGGACACTGTTCCTTACATGGATTGTAATCTGTGCAGAAACGGTTTTTAGTCTAAAAGATCTGTGATGTTTTTCTTTTGGAGCTTCTTTTCTACCCAGGAAATGGTTGATGAATTTACTATTTTTTTTCTCCTTTTGTCAAATATTATTTCAATAATATTCTTGACCTTTTGCCAACCCTAAATTATAACAGAGGAGGGATTTGCACTGAGTTAACATTTCTTAAATTAAGTGTATTTACCCACAATTTGAGTTGGAGAAGCAGATGATTTGCTAATGGAATGAACATTTTTACATTTACATTCAGATAATTTGATAGTATGCACTTGAAATGAGAGACTACATTTTTTTTCTTATTTTAAATGTAAATAGTCTTGTTTCATTTGCAGTGTCTCGCTAACCTCCTCAGTTCAAGAAAAAAATTACTTTTAGTTACTTCTATTTACCTTTTTTTCAGTGTATCAGACTAGTCCTGTATCCTGTGTCTTTGAAGCATGCACTTGGGGGGAAAAAATGTAGTAATAAGTTAAAAGTTCTTAAATTAAGTGTATTTTACCTTAATTTGAGTAGGTAAATGAGATAGTTTGCCCACTGGAAAAAAATCTAAATCTAGATAAGTCATTTTTTCTTAAAATAAGTGCATTTGTTCTTGGATTAAGGAGGTAAAAGAGACATTTTGTCAATGGAACAAGCTAATTTACACTTAAAGTAAGAAAACACAATTACATTGTCTTCTTTCAAGTGCATTTTATCTAATTATCTTATTTTAAGAGTAAAAATTGTCATTCCATTGCAAACTAATTCATTTACCTACTCAAATTAAGGGTAAATACACTTATTTTAAGGAATTTTTTTACTTATCTATAGATAGTTTTTCCAGTGCCAATGGAATGAGTATTTTTACTCTTAAAATTAGATAAAATGCACTTGAAATAAGACAATGCAACTGTGTTTTCTTATTTTAATTCTAAATTGTCTTGCTTCATTTACAGTGTCTCACCACACTGGAAAAACGATCTAGAAATGAGTAAAAATTTCTTTATTTAAGTGTATTTACCCTTAATTTGAGTAGGTAAATGAGATAGTTTGCCAATGGACTCAGCATTTTTACTCTTAAAATAAGATAATGAGATAATATACACTTAAAATAGAAAAATACAATTGTGTTCTCTTATTTTAAGTGTAAATTGCCTTTTTCCATTGGCAAAATGTCTCTTTTACCTCCTCAGTCCAAGAAAAAATGCACTTAGTTTAAGAAAAAATGACTTATCTAGATGTCGAATTTTTTCCAGTGTAACCTCCTTAGTTCAAGAAAAAATATATATATATATTTGACTTATGTTTTTTGCAGTGTATCAGACTAGTCCTGTATCCTGTGTCTTTGAAGTAAAACTGACCTCCATAATCCCACGGTTCTACAATCTGTTCAGTTTTGTATTACATAATGAATGCTAATTTAATGTTTCTGACTTGTGAAACAGCCGCTCCCTGCTTTCTGAGGCAAACACCATACACTAAATCATTCTCAGTTGCTCTGGTCTCCTTCTTAATAACATCATCGTCAGGAAGGACGTTATGGATCCACAGCTGCACACACAGCTCAATGCACAATGCAAAAAATATAAATCTAAATACTGTAGGTAATTTCATTTTTAAAATAAGTGCATTATTTCTTAAATTGAGGAGGTAAGTGAATAACTTTGCCAATGAAACAAGATTCAAAATAAGACAAAAACAATTGCATTGTCTTATTTCAAGTGAACATTATCTAATTATCTCATTTCAAGAGGGAAAAAAACTCATTCCAATGGCAAATCATCTTATTTACCTGCTCAAATTAAGGGTAAATGCACTGAATTTAAGACATTTGTACTTATTACTAGATCTTCTTTGCACTCTATACTTTTCTAAGCTGTGTTAGAAAGAAAGAAAGAAAGAAAGAAAGAAAGAAAGAAAGAAAGAAAGAAAG